TTGAAACCCAGTGGAGTGTTAGTTATGATTTGGTTACAACTTCACGGCAATGAGTTTTTGTTGTTGCCTGAGACCAGGCCATTAAAGATGTTTCTTCAGCATTATTTGGAATTTTCCTTAGCAATTAAAAAGAAAAGAATAATAATTTTCTCCAAATGTATGTAGTTACTCTCATGGAACAATCAGTTTTGATCTAGTTTTCCTAAGGGAAAAAGATTGTTCAATATTCAGAGCAGTTTTTCTCTGTTTACAAGAATTATAATGTACTCTAAGAAAACATCAATTATAATGTACTCTAAGGAAAATATTATAATCTGATGACCTTGTACAATTTTTCTATTTAAGAAAATAGTTTCTTTATTCAGATAATATTTTCATCAAGTATCAATATATTTTCCTTGGTTCTAGCAAGCTTTTACTAAGAGAGGTTTTTTAGGTACTATGTTAAGATGATATATCTTTAAGTAATATAGAACTCTGCTAATGTATTTACTATAGAAAAGAAACAAGTAAATGCAGCTTCAACATTTATATAAAGATATACCCATGTTTTGTTAAAAGTTATTTTCTTCATGTGACAGTTTTGAGTGGTAAGAGAAAAACCTAATGTATATATTGAATTACTTTGTGTCTTAATAGCTTTCTCTATTAGTGCAGAAGATTCTTATAAAGGATAAAAGAAAAACTTTTGACACATGAACCACAAATATCAGATATAATTTTACAAAGCAATTCTCTATTATGCTCTCCTATTCACAGTTGGAGAAGGGATGCTCTGGAAATTAGGTAATAATCTTACAAGATTCCCTGGTAATTTTAAAATATAGATTTCATATTTTAATAAGCTTTTGATAATGAACATTTCAAACAGACATAAAAACACATTCATCAATTTTTTTCTTCCTCCTAGAGTAGAACATTATTTTAGGCTCTGAGGACAAAACTGTCATTGAGATAAGCACAAAGCATGTAGAACCAAAGAAATACTTTAAAAGAGAATTACTAAAACAATAAAAAAAAGATAAGGAAAACTAAAATGAAATACCTTTATTTTGTATCTTATAATACTATACTTGAAACACAATTATTCATTCTTTTATAGTTATTTGTGCCAAGGCAATTAACAATATGGAATTGCTCTTCATTTTTGAGAGGTGAAATAAGGGGGTAAAATGAGTTCTTTTACAGAGATATTGTGAATTGTTTGATTGTTCAGTCTGTCTAGTGTCGATAGATTGAACAACTCAATGACTAGGAAATGTATTTCACAGAATGCCAAATGTAATAAATCTAGATTTATTTAGGATCCTTAACATATCTGTAGGAACAGAAAGAAAAGATTGGAAATGAACTATCTTGTGTACTGAGGGCCATTATTTTGCAAGTGAGTGTCATGTTAACAATAGGAGCTGTCTTGTAAAACCAGTCATTTACCTAGCCCAAGTAACTGTTTATGTCAGCTAGAATATAAAGTGTTCTCATCTTATTCCTTTTACTACATGTGTAACTCCAGTGGAATGGGAAGGTGAATTGTTCAGGGCTGTTAAATTTTGTAATTGCAAGACTGTATTAAATTCTTCCTAATGATGCTTACAGATATATGGTGATTTACTAAAAGGAAAGGAAAGAAGAATAAAAATACCCATACCTTTTACAATGACTAGTTTGTGGCTCCCGAATTCTGTAGATCAGTGCTTTTGCAAAAGCAAAAGAAGATCTGTCACTAATGTCATACACAATGACAAATCCGTCTGCCCAATGGAATTCACTAGTGAGGGAGAATTTTGCTTTCTGTGGCTGAAAAGAAACCAAAAGCATCGCAAATGGTGGTATCTGACACACCTGTATTTTAAATAATTAATGATTCATTAATGGAGCCTCATTTTTTCCTGGAAGAAACCAATAAAGAAAGGATAGTCCCAGAAAATGTCACAAAAGTCATATTTTAAAAAATAATATTGCCTTGGCTTTTCCTAGTTATTTAAAAATGTTTAATTTTGAAAGACCAAGATAATTATGACAAAATCATATCTATTTTGACATCTGTCTGAAAATGTATTTGTATTTTTTGAAAGAAGGTAAGCTAAAATAACTTTTACTTAATTTTCATATACATTTTAGAGTTCTTTTTATTTATAGTGAGATTTCTGTCATAGATTTAAGTCAGTAGCAAAACAATTTATAAAATGTAACTGAAAAAGTTTTAAAGATATTTTATTTACTTATATGGCCTATGAGTTGTTTTAAAATTTTATTTTGTTTATATTATCCTATTTCAGCATTTTATATTTTAGTAAATTTTAAAAAATTGTGTTTAAAACTTGCCAGAGTTATGCTCCATATAAAATGAGTAGTTACAAATGCAACTTAGTAAAAAATAAATGAAACAATTAAGCTACCAAACTATCAGCTTCTAACAGCTGCACTATGACCTGCTAAAAAATATTGTTAATTCATATAATATTACTCTTTTAAGGATATTTCTTTTTTATTTTTGTTTTTTTTATATTTCTAATGTGATAATTTTGATGTGATTTCATAGAGAAGCCACATAATAGAAGTTATAATATTAAAATGAATCATTTAAAATTTTAATACTTCAGAAGAAACGTCAGCTTTAAAAACTGGCAACATTTTATTAACATCCAATTTTCAAATCCCAATTACTTTTTTTAAATAAAATGGGAAAAAAATAAAACAGGGTTTTGTTTTACTTACTTGAGTGCAAGGGTCATATATTTCTAAATTTAATTGCTTCCCTTCCAAACATAAGTATTTGTTGTAGATGGATTCTACAAAAAAAAAGTATATATGTTATCCATATACAAATGCGCCAAAAGGAAAAATAAATTTATATTAATAAAAATCAACAAATCCATTTAGTGCAGTAATGTTGTGACTTCTTCATTGCCTGTGACTAAAACCCTATATTTGTTATACTTGCATATATATGTTGTCTTAAAAATAATATCTTCTCTTTCTATCCTATCACCTAGAGTTTTTAGTGTTGATTTGCAGTTCTTACTACAATTGAATTATCTCTGTTTTTATGTAAACTCAGTTAATTCACTCTCAACTAGTTACAATTTTCTTTTACATGATTCTAGCAATTCTCTCTTTTCTACATCATAGAATGTTTTGGTTTTGTTTGTTTGTTTTAGTTATTTGTGTCTTTTTTTTTTTTTGCTATATCATAATAATTGTTGATTGTAGAGCCAAGCAAGCTGTAATTGTTAACAACCTCAGTCTCTTCTTCATCTATCATGGTGCTGTCAATTAGCGAAGTGTTGAGACTCTGTCTTCTTGATGTTAAGCTTCAGTCTATATTTATGGCTACAGACCTTGACCTTCTCTGCAAGCAATTCAAATTCATCTCAGTTTCAGCAAGCAAGGTTGTGTCATCTGCAAAATGTAGATTGTCGATGAATTTTCCTGCAAGCCTGATGCCACAGTTCTCCTCATAAAGCCCTGCTTCCCGCATGATCTCTTCCACATATATATATATTGAAGAGTTACGAAGACAAGACGTATCTGTGACACACTTCCTTCCTAATTTTGAACCATACAGTGTTTCTCTGCTCTATTCTGAGGAATGGTTCCTGGTCCAAGGATAGGTTTCACATTAGCACAATTAAGTGTTCTGGGATTCACATTCTCCTTGAGGTTAACCACAATTTGCTGTGATCCACACAGTCAAATGCCTTTGAAAAGTCAATGAAACACAGACAGACATTCCTCTGGTATTTGTTTTCCACTGAGATCCATCTGACATTAATGATAATGTCTCTAGTGGCACAACTTCTTCTAGACCCAGCTTGTATTTCTGGTAGTTCTCTGTCAATGCACTGTTTCAGTTGTTTTTGGATCTTCAGCAGGATTTTGCTTGCATGTGATATGAAAGAAATTTTATGATTGTTTCCATACTGTGTCAGGTCATCTTTTTTGGAATGGGAATAAATATGGATTTCTTCCAGTCAGTTGGACAGGTAGTTTTCCTCCAGATTTCTTGGCACAACCTGGTGAGTACATCCTGGGCAACATCTGTTTGTTGAAATTTGTCAATTGGTATTCTATCAATTCCTGGGGCTTTATTTTTTCACCAAGTCCTTCAGCGCAGCCCGAACTTCCTCCTTCAGCACCTTTGTGTCTTGATCATCTGTTGTTTCTTGAAATTCTTCTTTGTAAGCCAATTATTTTTTGTTGTTAACAGTTACTGCTTGCTTGGCTCTACAGTCATCACTCTGTACATCAGAGAGTTGGATAATGACTAATGATGACAAAAAAAGAATTGATGCCTTTGAGTTGTGGAGAAGAGTCTTGAATATACCATGAACCGCTGAGAAAACAAACAGGTCTTGGAGAGGGGGAAACCAAGCCTCCTCAGGGGCTAGGATTTTGAAGCATCATCTAACATACTTTGGGCATGTGGCCAGGTGGGGTCCATTCTCAGAGAAGGCCATCATGCTTGGAAGGGTGAAGGGACAGGGCAGGACAAGAAGTTTCAGGATGGGATGGATTAATACAGTAACTAGGGCAATGGGGGTAGGTGTATCAGACTTAGTGATACTAGCTCAGGACTGGGCAAGCTCCAGAGCTATTGTACTTAGGGTCACTGTGAGTTGTAGGTCATGGCACATAACAACAATAACATCGTAATAATTATATAACAACTTTATGACTACTTCCTTTATGTCCAGTTCCTTTTGTCTCATGCTCTTCAAACTCTCCAATCTATTTTGTGTCCTAAACAACAGTTCACTGACCTCAGGTCGGAGCTGATATTCCAGGGTGTTTGTTGTTGTTGGTTTTTTTGTTTTGGTGTGTGTGTGTGTGTGTGTGTGTGTGTTTTCTTTTCTTTTCTTTTTTTTTTTAGTCCAAAAATCACATGAAAGGAGATTGCCCATCTTTCTCCTTGGATCCACTGGTGCATTTAAACTGGCTGCCTTTAGATTATCAACCTACTGGGCTAGCCCATTAGAACTCCCTACTACTCTTCAGTGAATTTCTTAACAACATCTCATTGCAAGACTCCATAGTCTGTCCTGTGTGGAATCTTATTTGCCCTATTAATAGTATCAAGTACTTTTCACTCTATCCCCTTTAAAACTTGTCATTGTATTTTGTAGTCTTCATGTAGCACACTGCCTTGGTCTGTTATTTACTTATTCTTGCTCTGTCTTAACCTGATACCTTCCTAGATCCAAACATTGATGTAGGTAACTCTATTTACACTCATTCCCTTGCTAATCTTAGTGCTACCCTCTTCCTTGCTACCCACCTCTATCCTAACAACATGTGCAATAAAACAACGTAACTGTGAACGCTTGTCTTTTTGTTCTATTCTGTATTTTTTTTTTCTACCTAAAGAGTATCTGGCACTGAGTGGCTGCTCAGTACATATTTGTTAAGTGAGTTCATCTTTGCCACTGTTCCTTCAAGTGCATCAATAGATAAGGGTGGCGCAGAATAGATAGGACAGGGTTCAAATCTGTTGTTCAGAGGGTCACTATGAGTTGTTCCTAACTCCACTGCACTTAGCAACAACAAAAACTGCTCCTTGGGCTTGTCTAAAAAAGACCTGCTTCTGCATACAACACAAAAGTAGCAAACCATGACTTACCTTGCAAATACTCTGTAACTCATAGCAGTGCAATGAAGCAAATATATGGGAGTTTCAACACACAACAGTTATGAATAAATTTTAGCTCTTTCAGGACATTTAAGAAAACTTTTGGCTTCATTAATCTTTAAAATATATTTTCCATCAGTTCCTTGTAAACTTCATAAACTTACTACTAAATGAACCACAATATTTCCTTCTACACACATTTAAGATATTCACTCTAAAACTTCAAAGACTGCCAGTAGGGTTCCAACCAAAATAAAAACCAAATTCACTGCCACAGGATTGTTTCTGACTTGAACCTCAGTCAGTTTTCCCAAGTGTAAATCTTTAGGAGAAGACAACCACTTTTCTCCTGTGGAACCTCTGATGGATTCAAACAACCTTTGTTTCCTTTAGCATCCCAACACATGATGATATACCATCAAGTCTTTACTAACAACTAATATATTAGAATTTTATTCTTTCTCTTTTAACCTAGATTTAACAGATAACATCGTTTTTTGCTAGTTTGTGTCCATATATTTTGCTCATTTGTCTTTATACAGTTTTGACTTTTGATCATAAAGCTGCCATTTTAAAAAGCATCCCTATGTTTTAACTGAGACACGATAGTACAAAAATTGTTGCTATTTTCTTTCTAGATCTTACAGATGATTAAAATGAGGGTCTGGTCTTGTGTTCGTTGTACTGTTTTTGGTTTTTTGTTGTTTTAGTTCTGGTACATCAAAGTCTTATTCCTCACTTGTCATTTTGAGACCTTCAGGAATTAATTGGAATTTCACTTTTATGTATTTGTTCTATAATCACTTACAAATATTTGTCCTAAAATGTTGACAGTATCAATATGGATAGAAATATATTAAATGTATGTAGAGCACAACATAATTTAGTACTTCAAAGTTATTTCCTTAGGTACCCTTAATAACTATAGCACATTCTAAAGAGATTTGGTTTGCTTCTCATGGGAAAACACAATAATTATAGACCAGTGTTAGTCTTGTTCTAGGGCTGGTTTTTGAAAACAACTGAACTTTCTAATCCATCTAACTTAATATTAAATAGGATGAATTTTATCATAAAAAATATACAGCTAAAGTGTCATTTCTAACTAAAATTTTAAATAAGATGCATAGTAGTATTTTTAAAAACTACAGATTTTGTCAAAATGTTTCTCAGAGCCTAATTGTGGTTTAATTATAATGCTGATATTTAAAAGTGTAAAAGGGCTAATTAGTGACTTACCAAAATTAGACGCATACTCTCCAATGAATCGCTTTGTAAGAAACCTTACTGTAAGGGCTGCAAAATAAACAAGCTAGACTGAGTATCTTTTCTGTATTATATTACAGATAAACTAGTTATATATAATTATATGATTTACCTTTCATATCAAAAATCACCAAGCATAAATGAAAATATTAAAGTCTTTTATAAATCCTAATTTAAATAATAGATAAAAAATTGCTGTTTTACAATCATAATGTTTAGAATTGTAGAAAGAAAGAGACCTCACATTGCTGCACATTCTAATTATTATATTATGTATTTATGGAAACAAATACACTTGGCAACTTAAATTTGGTAACAGACATAGGTTTCTCATTAACTGAGATACAAAGATTATGGCATCTTTATTAAATTACATCTGGTTCCAAAGACTCAATGCCACAGGGATAAGGATACAAGCAAACAATTGTTTAAGGGAAGCTCGGGGGAATAAAGTAGGGTAATTTACGTTCTCAGAAACCAAATGGTCAGCTACAGGCTGATTCAGACTTGATGGCAATACATTTTTAATTTGGAAGGTCTTCTGTTAGTTATTAGATTTAAAACTCCAAGACAGAGAGGGAAAGACTTTTTTATAGGTATATTTATTTTCTTTATTTCAACCTCTTGGTCTGATCATTGGTTAGGTTTACTTGGCTTCAGTTATGGTATATACACCACCATTAAAATGTGGGTTTTAGGGGATCAGGAGTGAGTGAGTGGGTCAGTGTGTATAGAAGTGGTGGGCAAGGCTTCTAAAGTTCAGGTACTTGTTGCAAAGTCCACAAAGTTATGACCCTCAAAAGTTGTTTCATATTAAGAGTGTGTCATTAAAAAATAAGCTACGGATCTTTCTCCACCCTTAGAGCAGAAAGAGGGTTTTTATTTTGCTTTCAGGCCCATGATTTGGCTACTAGTGGGTGTGGGACAGGTGAATGAGTGTGATAAGTAGAGGAGAGAGGGATAGTAAAATATCCTTTGTTTTATAAATTTTAAGCTTTAGTGCAGCAAGTCACATAATATTTCAAAATTATCTTACTATATACTACCTCATAGTTTGTAGTTACTTACATACTAAAACGAAATTCTTGGTAAAAATATGCACATAACCCTAGTGAGAATATTTGAAAGATTAATATCCATGTAATACATATATATTTTTTGCATTCTACACATATAAAAATTATCACCACTCACCGGATTTGCCTGTTCCCTCACCACCCAAAACAGCAAGCTTCACATCATTCATCTTGCTTTTCTTGCTGCTGCTTTTTGGTCAGTCTTGTCTTCTATAACGATTCTGACTTTAACTAAGCATGCGCTTATCGTTTTCCTTTTTATTGCTTGTTTCATTTCTCTAAGGTCAACTCCACCCCATCCTCTTGCCATCTAAAAATAACAACTTTTAAAAAAGTTTACTAGACTGGTTGTCAACATATTTCTATTTCTTTTTTAGTTGTTGTTGTTGTTACACACATTGGAGTCACTCATTAGTTGCTTGCATATTTTAAACCAATAGTGACACATTTGTCATTTGGGCTTAGTTTCACTACCGTTTCTTTATTTCTGCATCTCTGGACACTACCTTTTTGAAAGGCCTAGAAAAATTGCCTCTTTTACTCACGAAATTTTAGGAAGTGTGCAATCATTCCTATAATTTAATTTGATAATTTTTTGCTTGTTCTATTAATATCTAAGCCTAAGCCAGAGATGGATAAATTAACTCAGTCATGAAAATAAATGAAGAATAGTAGAGCTTCTCAGAATATATTAGTCCGAGGCTGATGACAATGCAAATGGATATCCATATAAAATTTCTGAGTCATTAATTTTTCTTACTAACATAGTATTTTTAGTATAGAAATTAAGGACATAAAACTCTATTTTTATGTAGTTTTAAATATGTTCTAATTATAATCTTCACTGAATCTTAGGAAAAAACATCAAGAAAATAAATTATATATGTGCCTAATCCTAGGCAAGAAAGTAAAATATTAATATTATAAATAAAAGCATGAAAATGAAACTAAACAAGGGTCACTGAACATATATTTATGCGAACTTTTTATAATACTAGGAAAGTAGGGCTTTCCAAAATAATGAACAAATCCAAAGGCATAAAGAAAATAAGTAACAAAGAGACGAATCCAATGACTTGTCCATCACTCAACATTTATTACTGATTAATTTAATGATAGTATTTATCAAGGTCTATCTGTTTGTAGATATTTTCATTATTGTTGCTGAGAGGTGCACTTGAGTTGACTATGGCTTACAGTAACCATATGTGCAATAGATCGGAACCTTGTCCTGTTTGTCTCATTCTCATCATCTCTGATATGCTCAAGGCCGTTGTTACAGTCACAGTGTTAAGGGTCTTAACATCTTCTTGAGGGTCTTCTTGTCTTTCTCTGACAGTCCACCTTACTGACCCCTCTTGATAATATGTCCAAAGTGTGTGAGACAAAGTTTCATCATCTTTGCTTCTAAGATAATAACAGTCCACAAGATATTCAGTATATATTGCCAATAATACAATTCAAAAGCATTCTGCTGTCATCCTTATTTACTTTCCAACTTTTGGGTGCATAGCAAGCAACTGAATGTACCAATGGTTTGGGTAAGAAGTTGATTGGTCTCTAAACTGGCATCAATGCTTTTTAGGGCTTTGGAGAAGGTTTTGATGGCACATTTTCCTAGTGCAGCACATCTCTTGATTGCTTTACTGCTGTTGCCAGGGATGTTGATTATAGATACAAGTAAAATGAAATTTTAGCAATTTCAATCTTTTGTTCATTGGTAATGATGTTGCCTATTGTTACAGTAGTGAGGATTTTTGTTTCCTTGATATAGCAAAGCTGCATCATCGACATAATATGATGAGTCTTCCTTCGTTCTTAATCTTGATGCAATATTTCTCTCCATACAGTCCAGCTTCTCTAATTATTTTTTCAGTATACAAGCAATCTTCTCCACACTGTATTTATAGCAAGATTAATTTCAATGCTGAAATGAATAACAGTTATGCATACTGAGTGTTTTGATATATATTTAATTATAATTCAATTAGATAAGGAATTAATTCTATGCTATAGCTGAAAAATACATTGAGAATAAATTGATGAAAAGCAGTATGTCTTTTTTTTAATTCACAAAAACCATATTGATCAGTACAGTCTCCTTCCATATCATGGTCTTATAAACCCTGTGAAGGGCTCTCATGAGCTGGTGTCTGCTCAGCTGCAGGTTTGGTTGCTCTGTTTTGTTTAGTGCTGCTTTCTGCCAAAGAATAACAGAGGAAGGTGCCATGTTGTCTTTACTTTTGCTCTCTCACATTTGTCAGAAGCAATAGATCTTTTATCCTGGGAAGAGATATTATAATCACAGGAAGTTTATGGTTTCAAGTATCTAATAGGTTTAAAAAGTACTTGAAATGTGCCATTTACACCTCACATTGGTGATGTTTGGTAAGATAAGAAAATTAAGAAGAAAAATTTAGAAAATATATGATTGGTAAGCTGTCTGGTGCTGGAGAAGAGTATTGAATATACCAGGGACTGCTAGGAGAACAAACAAGTTCATCCTGGAGAGGGTGAAACCAGGCTGCTCCTTGGAGGCAAGGATTCTGAAGCTCGTCTGAAATATTTTGGAAATGTTGCAAGGTGGGATCAGTCCTTGGAAAGGAGCGTCATGCTTGGGAGGGTGGAGGGACAGCGCAGGAGAGGAAAAACCTAGATAATATGGATTGATTCTGTCACTGGGGTAATGAGGATAGGCATGTTAGAGACAATAAGATTGGCAAGGTATAGAGCAGAGTTTAGGGCTGTTGTACATCAGGTTGCTATGAGTTGCAGGCAAATTAACAGACCATAACAAGAGCAATAACAAGCTGTATCCCATGCCAAAATAGAAAGAATATTCTCTGATATTTTCAATCACAAATTATCTAATATCTTTCCCTTTTAAAATTATTTCAAACTTTACTATTTACCTACCAAATGATGAACCCTCACAATATCAAGAAGCTAAACCAGATGCCATCCAGTCTGTTTTGACTCTTTCTATTGAGTCAAGGCTGCTCTGTAAATGATTTTATATACGTCCTTTGGAAAATAACAAAATTAAAATGTCATACCTGCAGAAAGCCAGTCAATTTGGACTCACTACTGTACTAGTTTGTTGCCATCAAATCAGAACCAACCCATAGTTGACCGTTACTGAGTTTTCAGAGGCAGTAGGTGACAGGAAATTGTCCATCTTTCTCCCACAGAGCAGCTGATAGATTTGAACTGTGTTCCTTTAACTGGAACCCAATTTCTTGTCAAAGAGCCACATAATCAAAGAATTTAGGGTTTTAAAAAATATTATATAAAGGGTGTATATCGGGGAGATGATCTATCTCCATACGTTTTCAATCTATATGCAGGGCTCTATGAGGAGAAATGTGGTATCAGGATTGGGGGAAGACTCTTCAGCAATTTGTGTTATGCAGATGACACAACCCTGCTTGCTGAAACTGAGGAGGACCTGAAGCACTTGCTGCAGAACATCAAGGATTTCAACTTTCACTATGGATTGAAGCTCAATATCAAGAAAAAAAAAGCTTCTCACCATTGGGGTGATTGACAGCATCATGATGGATGGTGAAGAGATTGAGATTGTTAACACCTTTAGTCTGCTTGGCTCCACAACCAACACTCTTGGCACCAACAGTTGGGAAATTAAAAGAAGAATTACATTGGAAAAGCCTGCTGTCAGAGACCTCTCCAAAGTCCTGAAAAGCAATGATGGTCAGTCTGGAGATTAAGGTGCACCTGATACAGGCCATGGTCTTTGCAATCACTTGCTATGCATCAGAGAGCTGGACAATGACTAGGGAGGATAGAGAATTGATGCCTTTGATTTGAAGAGCCTTGAACATACCAGGGAATGCTAGCATGACTAACAGGTTTGTCCTCAATAGGATAAGACCAGGCTGCTCCTTGGAGGCAAGGATTCTGAAGCTTTGTCTAACATACTTTGGACATATTGCAATGAGGGACCAGTCCTTGGAGAGGGATGTCATCCTTTGAAGGGTAGAGGGACAGCACAGGAGAGGAAGACCCTCAATGAGATGGATTGATTCAGTGATTGGGGTTATGGGGGTAGGTGTGTCAGAGACAATAATATTGGCCCACAATAGATCAGGGTTTATTGCTGTTGTACATTGGGTCACTATGAGTAGCAGGCAACTCAAAAACACATAACAACAACAACAACGTATAGATAGATGCATATGTAGAAAGGTACATATGTAGACAGATGGAGATAAAAAAATATTACAGATACATAGGCTTATCGCTAAGTTACTAGAGCTCCCTAGAAAAGAATAGATATCATCACTTTACATTTGACAAGTTCACACATGACTTCAGGTTTCCTATAATCTCAATCCTCAGCCCCCGCCCCCGTGTGTGTGTGTGTGTGTGTGTGTGTGAGAGAGAGAGAGAGAGAGACAGACAGACAGACAGACAGACAGACACAGATTAATTTCATATCTTTGAACCAGTTAATTCTTGTGATTTGACCTAACACCAAAAATTTGCATTTCCACCTCAGATATATTGAATTAGAATCTACATGCTAACAAAATCTCCAGATAGTATTTGTTTATACACTATGGATATGTAGGTGTGTGTGTGAACTGTATTTGAACAAGATATATAGTTATATCATCCTCACACAATTTTAAAACTATGTTGACAACATTAATAGAATTGACCTACAATATTCAAATCTTCATACTTTTAAATCTCTTTTAGAACCTAATTTGAAAGAGAATCATTCATTTAGACATACTTTAAAGAAATGTTTTATTCAGTATATAATGTCAGTAATTACCACATTTCATCTGCCTCTTCTGGAACAAGAAAAAGAATGAATATCTACAAATCTTGAAACATTTTGAAAGCATATATGAAACTAAATAATTGAATGGTTTTGCTAATTTTTCTCAGCATGAATACTGCAATTATCTTTTCAAGATAATGATTAGGGATACCTTGACTATTTCAAATTATTCTTCAGATGTTTATTGCTTCATAACCTTCTAATTGCATGCTAGCTTATAGTAACTGAAACATGATGTTTTTGCTATTATGTGCCATTGAGTCGACGGAGAGTCACAGCAACCCTATGATCAACAAATCTATTCTATTCTGTGTCATCCTTACTCTATCCAGTACACCTGAGCCTATTATTACACTCACT